GACCAAGTAGGGAAAAAAATTTTACCCCCCCCCCCCCCCCCAGTTCAATCTGAGACGGCAAGCAAGAGGAGTAAGGGGCAGTGTACACTAAGCCACCTTGAACCACAAGGAAAGGAGGAGTATAAATTAATGCCACTGTCTCCTTCTTACCTGCCTTGGGTTCCAAGCTGTTGGGGAAATGGTGGGCACGTTACTAATAAAAATAATAATATAGTGTGGTGTGGTAGTTAAGTGTCCGACTAGGATCTGGGAAACCCAGGTTCAAATGATCCCACTCTGCCACGGAATGAAAAATTATCCACCAAGTCTGGTCAAGAGTTTTAACATTACAAGCTGGATCTGAGTCAAATAGCACCTTAGAGACCAAGATTTTCGGTGTATGAGCTTTCAAGAGTCAAAGCACCTTTCATTAGATCATAGAATCATAGAGTTGGAAGGGACTGCCAGGGTCATCTAGTCCAAATTCACAACTACCTCCCCCTCACAACCCCAGTGACCCCTGCTCCATGCCCAGAAGATGACAAAAACCTCCAGGATCCCCAGCCAAACTGGCCTAGAGAAAAACTGTTTCCTGACACTGAAGTGGCGATCAGCACTTCCCTGGGTGTGTAAGAATGGCCAGAAGAACTAAGCACTGGTGCAACCCTTCCTGCCCTCCCTCTCATGATCTGCCCAAGTTCACAGAATCAGCACTGCTGTCAGATCTGGCTCTCAAAAGCAAATACCCCGAAAATCTTGTTGATCTCTAAGGTGCTACTGGATTTGGAATTCTAGCTGTTCATCTACAGACCAACACAGCTATGCTTTGAAAATTAACAATACAAATAACATTTTGAAAACACAGGCAGAGAGATCACAGATTCTGCAGTTTTGGGAAGGCACTACACATCATGATTTCATACACATGGCAGAATGGACTTTGGCTCACAGATTGCTTAGGCCACAGTAAATGTGTTAGCTGCTGCAAAGACAGAATTTTTGCTGTGAGAGACTGAGACAGCTAACTCACAGGTATTTATCCTTGCTCCTCCAGGGAGCTTGGTGGGCCACCTTAAGCCTAACCTCCTTTGACTGGGAAGAAAAAATGGAGGAGGGGAGAGCCACCCAGGCCTCCCCCGAGCTCCAGGGAGGAGAGCCAGGAACAAAAATGAGTAATGGAATTATCTGAGGGCCCTAAAAAGTACTCTGTATTCCTATCAGACTTCAGCATCGTCCCAAACCATAAAAGGTTTCTAAAAAACATTTTGCTTTACCAGAAAGTTGTGCAGTTTTGTGTCTGTTGTGGGTTTCTTTCTCCCCTGTTTCCTGCTGAGCTTTATCGCTCATTTCCCGTTGATTCAGGTATTCTTCTAGAGTTCGTAACCCCTCCTGGGAAGACAGATCAACAAAACAGCCCAGAAATTCCCAGTATTCAACCCACGGGAACCCCCGTTCATGAGCTAACTCCCTGCAATAAATAAGATAGAATGAATCATTTGTGAAAACATCAAACAAGACAAGAGTTACTGAACATGTTTTTAAGAACAAGCCAGGGCAAAGACACGGCATCAAGTGTCAAAAACAAATTTTTCCAGCACAACTGAGTTATGCACCATCACAAGCTTTCACCACAGACTCAGCTTAATTTTTACATATAATTCTCACATAAAATTATTTGGTAGGACTTCCAGCATCCTGCTGTCAAAACAAATTAGCATGGGGAAAAACAGGGCTTTTAAATCCAAAAAATGCTCCCTTCCCCAAAGATAACACTTTTACAAGAAATCAGAGACTGAACATGCATATGGTATAAAACATACAAACTGGCTCTCAATGTAAAAAGACTTATGCATATGTGCTGTGAGAGCCGGGTACTTGAAATGGAACCTTTTCTGAATAAGTGGGTAACATTACTTTAAAATGCAGCTGTATAGTATATAGGTACATGCACCAAATTTGCACGCTTAATAGCAGTATAACTACTTCTGCAATACATTTATTTACCCTTAAGAATGATACAGCATACAAAGAGGGGTTGTGGCAGTGAAAAGCAACAAGGCATAGCAATGGCAGTTCAGGAAAAGCTTTGACTTGGAAAACATGGGGGAGGGAAGGCAAGGGGGAGACTGGCTTGTCAAACAGAGGGCACCTGTTTCAGCCATAAAAGGTAACGGTTTCCCTTGCTCAAAAGCTAGTCAAATCTGACTCTAGGGGGCGGTACTCATCTCCATTTCCAAGCCGAAGAGGCAGCGTTGTCCAAAGACGCTTCCATGGTCATGTAGCCAGCATGACTGAACGCTGTTACCTTCCCACCAAAGCGGTATCTATTTATCTACTTGCAATTTCTTGCTTTTGAACTGCTATGTTGGCCGGAACCGGAGACGGGAGCTTACTTTGTCACACAGCACTAGGGTCTTGAACTGCTGAATGACAGACCTTCCTGTCTGGAGCTCAGCGTCTTAACCTCTGAGCCACCACGGCCCCAGTTTCAGGCACAGATAGTCCCAAATAAGGGGAGAAGAGTAACATGACAGAGATGGTTATAGTAAAGCCCCTTAACAAAGGAACTGACCTTTTAATTCTCCCTCTTCACTAACAGAGCACAGCATCATCTCTACTGCACCCATAGGACACGACTGACTTTTTACTCTTTCCCATGGCCCATTCCACCTACAGGGAGAGCCCAAAGAACCATAAGGCAGGTTGTTCTCCTCTAAGCACTCTATTACTTTATCATGATCCTCCAATACTGCTGCTTTTAATTTTATAATTAATGTGTATAAAAACACATGCGATATGAGAGTAAGAACACATGTATACACGACACTGTGACTACTGCTATATTATTTCATGCTGTGAGGCTGTTTTAATACCTTCCAACTCTTTCAACACCTCTTTCCAGGTCAGATTTTCTAAGATTGTGAAAAAATCCTGCTCTCTCTCGAGGCGGAGTCTTCCAAAGCCTGCGGAATTCTTCTGCCTTTAAAACAAACCAACAAATATTTATGCAACACTACGACCAGGAATTATAACCAAATCTTGTCTCTTCTTGAAATCTGAAATAAAGTATCTTTCCAGAGGTCTAGAAATATCTAGCTTCACTAAAAAATCAGACAAAATCTAATGTTTAAAAAAACACCTGTAGGGCCTCTTTTGATATTTCCTTTAGGTGCAGCTCTTTACAGTGCTGCCAAGGTCACATCAGAAACCCCGAATCACATGTGAGGAATCCATATTGCGGCCACTTCCAATACCCCAGTTTCTAGGAAGAGCTCTAGACTTTTGTTAAGCAACTGTTATGTAAATCTAAGAAATAACTCAGGACAATCTGAATTTGAAAGTCAGGTGTTCTGGGCCAGGCAGGGAAGTTGGAATTGCATCCAGTTTCATGGTAACTTTTTTTTATTCATGATCTAAAAACACTGAAAGAGAACTTAGTATCTCTGTGTGATTTCAATTACCTTGGAAGGGCTCACTGGGCCAGCATAAGCCCTCACTGTTAACACAGGATCTTTAGGGCTGCCTACATATCTGGGTAGAGAAACATGTGGGCTATCTTCTGTCTGGTCAGGTGACCAAGGTGCTCCAATCACAGGTGCTGAGGCATTATCTTCTGCTCGAAAGAGTGGCACATAATACTGACCTAAGTCACAAGTAAATGTAAATGGTATTAAGGGTTGGTTAACATACTTAAATACTGTTCATATCCAGTTGCTCAAAAATTTCAAACAGGAAGTTTTAGAATCACAATGTATAAATAAACATTAGTTTGATACCAGATCACTTTAAGGTCCTACAAAGACAGGTATCACGTTTCAACGTCGTGTTACCTCAGTTACCAGAACAACTCATACTATGACATCATGTAAACAAGCCTTTTAATTTGGAAAACTGAAATTTGGCGGAATTTACAAATCCCCCCTGGAAAAAACCCCCAAATAAACCACAAGATCAACGTTCTAAATACAAACCTTTCAAATATTCCCTGATTTTCTCTTTCAGATCCACAGATTTATTTTTGCTCCTCTCACAAATTACCTGGAGGAGAATATGCAAGATATTAGTTAACAGAAGCTGTTTTGTCGTCCTCTGTGTCCCTGGCAGAGGGAACAGAAAGCCCATTCTCAAGTCAACATTTTTGTACACAGCATGTTTCAGTCATTCAAATGACCAAAATTAAGCAGTTGTTAATTCTCAGCCATCCACAGAAGCATAATAAAACCAAAGGGATTTCACTCAAGTGTGCCGAGCAGATGGTGCCATTGCAGACATACCACTGAGACCAGATTCTCAAGACTCACTTGCTGTGGGCATGTTCTGTCAATCCAAGCAGACAAAAAGCCCACACCATGTCACACCATCGCACGTATACACCTTCCATCATAGCAAATGCATTCTTTTCTGCACTTTCACCTCAGCCTGCTTCTTATTCCAACCCCAAGAAGGACAGGAAGTGCCACTGTTTCATGGCAACTGTTATTAGATTGGTCCACTACTGTAACGCTCTCTACATGGGGCTGCCTTTGTCGCAGATTCGGAAGCTTCAGCTAGTACAGAATGCCGTGGCCAGGCTGTTGATGGGTCTCCCTAGACGGGAGCACATCCAGCCTGTGCTGAGGACACTGCACTGGCTGCCAATAGCATACCGAGTCTGCTTCAAGGTGCTGGTTCTTACCTTTAAAGCCCTACATGGCCGGGGCCCAACATACCTACAGGACCACCTTTCCCCGTATATACCCCAGAGAGCACTACTGTCTGGTTCTCAAAATTGGTTGACCCTCCCTGGCCCGAGGGAGGCCAGGCTAGCTGCTACTAGGGCCGGGGCCTTTTCAGTGGTGGCCCCTACCTGGTGGAACGAGCTCCCGAAGGAGAATCAGGGCCCTGCGGGACCTTTTGCAGTTCCGCAGGGCCTGCGAGACAGAGCTCTTCCGCCAGGCATATAATTAGGGGCCGCCACCACAGTGAATGGCCCACAAAGTTATCATCGATCAGCTGCCATAAGAGTTGACGAGGAGAATAACATCTAAGCACTTTTATGCTGGAAGCTGGAAATCCATCTGAAAGCATTCCTTCTGATTGAATTTTAACTGCCACCAGCACTGAATTTTAACCGCCACCAGCACTTTTTAATGTATTATGTATGTTTTTATCATGTATTTATGTTATGGGGAAGGCGGGGTATAAATTTGACAATAAATAAATAGGGCAATTTTTGAAGGGCTTCAAAGTTACAGGGGAGTCTTTAACCAAAGCAGAGAGGAAAACACACAAAATTAAATATATACAGAAATAACTGGTTATAAACCCAAAAGTTTCTCAGATAAGAAATGTAGTAAACAAATCATAATCCAACCACAATTAATGTAAGCCTTTTCAAATATAATATTTAATAAAAGGTATATTAACATCCAATACTTGTGTAAATCAAATATGTTTTGGCCAACACCGGTCTTCATCAGCAACAACAGCATGTGGCACAAATACATTAACAGAGTTAAAAACATTACATTCTGTAAAAACAAAAATATAATTACAATTAAATAAACAAATAAGCAAAAAAAAGGTTAAAGGAGGAATAAAATTAAAATTTTAAACTCCATTTACTGAAACCTGTTGATTAAAACATGTTAGATTTAAGAATGTATGGAATGTTAATCCCAGCTATGTCAGTCTCTAGCCACGGAATAAAGCAGGAGTTCAGCGCCACCTTAAAAACTAACAAAACTGATTCCAGCACAAGTCCTCACGAGTCGGAGTTCACTCCATCAGATGCGTAGCGATGAGGTGAGCTCTGACTCACAAGACTGTATATGCTGGAATAAGTTTTGTTAGTCTTTACAGCACCAGTGGACTCCTGTTTTGTTTTACTGAAAGCACTTTCTTAAATGCTATATTTTACAGCCAATGTGGAGTAGTAGTTAGAATATCTGACTAGGCACTGAGAGACCCAGGGTCAAATCCCTGCTCTGCCAATAGTTAGAATGTCTGACTAGGCACTGGGAGACCCAGGGTCAAATCCCCGCTCTGCCACAAAAGCCACAATCCTGGATGGCCTTGGGCCAGTCATGCACACTCAGCCGTTCTCACCTCGCAGAGTTGCTGTGGAGATAAAACGGTGAAAAAGAGAACAATGTAAGCTGCTCAGAATCCCCCTTGGTGAGAAAGGTGGGGTATAAATGAAGAATAATAAGAAAACAAAAGCTTTAGATCAAGTATGGTCTACAGACTACACGCGTTACTTGAGAAACTTTTGAAATTGCAGCCAGTTGGTTGTTTCCTTACACGCAGTTGACCTTTCCATATGAAGCCCACTAAGAACAACTTACCTCTGCTGGTGTTTGTTCGTACTTGTTCTTTGGGTGCTTATCAATATCTGGGTGCGAGGTAAGCACACTGACCACATCTGGGTTCCCAAACTTGCAAGCAAAATGCAATGGTGTGTCAAAACCCTACAAGAAAAAAAAACACACAAATGTTTTAATGCTCTGGAGCCTTGTTCTATCCAACAAGCATCTGAAAGTTCCTCTGAAGCGACTGACTATATCTCAAAAATTCTACCCTGGGTGAGACTGGAAGCTGACCTTGGGCTCCCCCTCCCACTTTCCCCACAGGGGGAAGTAAACGACTGAACCAGTCAGAATCTCAGAAGCCAAATGATCAAATAAATTACATGTGGAATGTCCTCCTTTAGCAGGTTTTTTCAGCGCTCCCACATGTCTCAATGGAAATTTCTGATTCACATAAAAAGAAATCGCAATCCCAGTCCAGAATGGACATCCTGCCTGTTGTCATGATTAAAGTGTCAGACTAGTATCTGGGAGACCCGGATTTGAATCCCCCCTCTGCAATGCAAGCTTACTAGCTGACCCTGGGCCAGTTAGTCTTTCTCAGCCCAACCTCACTTCACAGGGTTGCCTGTCAGGAGGATAAAATGGAGGAGGGGAGAAGGATGTCAGAAGCTACTTGGGATCACCACTGGAGAAAAAAGCGGAGTATGGACATAATTAGAACAGTATTATACAGTGGTGAATCATACTGATTTCAATAAACACACTTTCAATTACACATGCCCAGAACAGTCTAAAATATGCATTGCAGCACATTCCTTTGTTGCTGCTTTAATAGTCTTAACAGCGGGACACTAAGAAAGAGTATGTGTGGTGTAGTGGTTAAAAGTGTTGGGCCAGGATCCGGGAAACCTAGGTTTGAATCCCTACTCTGCCATGGAAGCTTGCTGGGTGCCCTTGGTCCAGTCACACTCTCAGCCTAAGCTACCTCACAGGGTTGTTGTGAGGATAAAATGGAGGAGAGGAGAACAACGTAAACTGCTTTGGGTCCCCACTGGGGAGAAAGGCGAGCTATAAGGAAATAAAATACTTAAATTTAAAAACTAACCATTTTATCTGGTGTGTTAAGATAGAGATCGACAATGTATCTGATACGCTTCTGTAACATGATCATATCATCATCCGGATACATCATCCGCATAAATTCAGGATTTTCCAAAGTGTCCAACAGCAACCTGCAGATACCAGGCTGATTCTCCTTGGCTGCCACGTGCATGACGTTGTATCTGCAGCCTTCCTAAAAGAAGACGATGACAGATATTCACCATACATAAAGTATAACCATCTGTTTTCCCTGTTTGGCAACAAAATACAGAAGTCTTCTTTTTAAATCTGATGATTTGGTGGAACTTGTTTTAGAACCTGCACAGTCACATAATGAAATGCTGTGCTAAGGCTATGAGCATTACCAATTAGAAAACCTTTTGTTCCACTTAACGCCTCTATACTAGCAGTTTTGTTTCACCGCAGTAAAAACCAGCAAATCTAATTAGATGCTACCATTATCCAGGACGGCAAAAAACTGGAGTAACAAGGCCATGGAGCACTGACCAAGTCCTAGGGGAAATGTTTTTAGTCCAAGGAAAGTTTTTACTCATGGCTATCAAGAGTGTGGATGGCCTTTCCCTTCAGAAAATATGCATACAACTTCTCCAGTTCTATCACAGGAAGGAGCTGTATAGCTTTAAAAAAAGTTCAAGCACCTTATTTGCAAGGGGACATGGGCGGGCACCGGATGCCACCGGAAACGCGATCAGACGCCCGCCCTTGCCCCGCAGTTTCCGGAAACTAGTACCTCCGAGGTACTAGTTTTTTGCCACGCAGTTTCGGCTGGAAGCCTCGGTTGAGCCACGGGAGTGCTACGCTTCCCAGATGTGCTGGTGAGATCGCGCCCGGAAACTCCGCCTGTTTTCCGTCTCACTTGTGTGGCTTCTGTTCTGTGTGACTGCAGCCAGAAAACCTTTTGTTCCACTTAACACCTCTATACTAGCAGTTTTGGTTCACTGCAGTAAAAACCAGCAAATCTAATTAGATAAAACCTTTTGTTCCACTTAACGCCTCTATACTAGCAGTTTTGTTTCACCGCAGTAAAAACCAGCAAATCTAATTAGATGCTACCATTATCCAGGATGGCAAAAAACTGGAGTAACAAGGCCATGGAGCACTGACCAAGTCCTAGGGGAAATGTTTTTAGTCCAAGGAAAGTTTTTACTCATGGCTATCAAGAGTGTGGATGGCCTTTCCCTTCAGAAAATATGCATACAACTTCTCCAGTTCTATCACAGGAAGGAGCTGTATAGCTTTAAAAAAAGTTCAAGAAATTCTACAGATTGTCATTTGGATCCAAACTACTGCAAGCAGAGCTCACAGAAGACATTTTGCCCGCTTCCCCTTTCTTGCTACAGCCTCTTAAAAAAAACACCAACACCCCTGAAAGGGAATCCTCAGTGCAAAATATGGCACGGGGAGGGGGACTGCAGTGGGAACTAATGGACATCCCCTCCCCCCACTCTTGCATAAATAGAGCAAGAGCTGGCAGAAGAGTGAGGGGTGTGTGATTTCCACCAATTCCTCCTTTAGCCCCCATGTTTCATCTCACATTGTTTCTAAGGATTCCCCAATTTTTGGAGGGGTGAAGGACATACGGAGAGTAGCTATTCTGGATCAGGCGATGGCCCAGCATCCTGCTTTGGATAGCTGCCAGTCAGACCTACAAGAAAGTTCACAAACAGGCTCATAGCCCTTGCCCATAGACTGTTCCCAGCACAGACAATCAGAGGCATTCTCTGCCTTTGAACCCACAGGTCCCACCTTAGCCATCCTGGCTGATATTCCATTCCCACATTTCATGAAAGTGAGTTCCCCAAGTCAACTACCTATTGCAGGAAGTGGTTCTTCCCTTCTGTCTTTCTTTAGAGGCTGAAGAAAGCAGAGGAAGGAGGCAAAGATTTGCTTCATGATCTCCATTCCACTCTTGGTAGTTTGGAACCAAGTCATGAAGGAAACTAAGCTGTTGCTTTGACAGGACTGCTTTTTTGGCAGAACGTGAACACCTCATACGGCTGCTTTGCACTTCTACTCTGTTTTCTGGCCTTTTATATAGAATGGCACACGTTACATTAATTTTAGCATATATAATTCTGGTCTGAACACTGTAAAGTAACAGGCCATCACTATAATACCAAGATTTATTGTGCCACTCAAAAGGAGCCAAAGCTAGTCCTCTGGTCTTGTTGCTCTACTTAATAGGCACTGTTCTGTCCCTAGCCACTGGGATGGAGAGTCACTTCAGTAAAGACTCATCATTCTGTCTCTGGCAGACAGACATATTTTAATTCTGAACAAGAAAAAGCATCCCAAGGCAATTTGTGACAGATGGCCTAAGAGATCATTCCCTTATTTTCAGCTCTGAAATTTTAAGTTACAAACCGGTTTTCACTAATAAAGTGGAAAAAATGAACAAAACACTTGGATGCATTCGTTTAACTTCTACCGCAGGTTAGAATCACTTTGAAAACAACTTTTTGTCTCCCTTACTTAAAAGACCTCATTTTTTTAGGTTATTTTCAAACCCAGAAAATACTTAAAAAAAAAAAAAGATTAAACCTGGGATTTTCAGCACAAAAGTCTTCTAGAGCTAACATTTTGCCCATTCCTTTGCAGCTGTATTTTAAAAAACATTCCTCTTACGCAGAGTAGAACAAAAGTGCAAATGGACAATTTACCTGGACAATTGTTGGGTTGTCCCCAGAACCAATGAGATAGCGAGGATTGCTCCAGATAAGGTCCAAGAATGCAGTTTCATCTCCTTTCTCAACAGCTTTCCGAAGTTTGGCAGTAAGATCCTGTGTACGAGGACTTTTAAAACTATTGGCTCTCTCTTTACTAACTGTTTCCAGCTCAGGAGAGCATAACCCATCTATCAAAATGAAAAAAAAATGCATTTTATTGCGGATGAAGTCTAGCTAAAGAAGAATGCTGTCTTTTCATGGGGGTGGATTCTACTCCTAGCCTACACTGAGAGCAGTTTGAAGCCTTCCTTTAGCATAAAGATCCTTCCTTCAACTACAGTTACTCTTCCATTGAAGGAACTCTCTATCAGCTGGAGAAAGGACCCTTGGAGGAGGACTGGATCCACCTCACTTTATATAGAAGTAAAGTGGCAGGCGACTGCATAGATAAGGGAAGCAGCAAAACTGGCCACCCCAGAAAGGACAGGAGCCTCCAGCTACGTGTAGTACTCCAAGTATGCTGGAAAATAAGACTGAGTCAATGGAAATAAAAATGCTTTCAAAAACCTGCATGCTGAGGACTGGAACAGACCTAGAAGGGACTGGAGCTCCCTGCTGGTGCCTGCTGGAGGTCGCCGCCGGCTGTGGGGAGGACACACTTCCGGTGATGTCAGGGTGTGTGGCATATGCTAATGAGTTATGCTAATGAGCCCCCCTAGCTCTTTTTCTACGAAATGACCCCTGAGACTGAGTCAATGAAAATAAAAATGCTTTCAAAAACCTGCACGCTGAGGACTGGAACAGACCTAGAAGGGATGGACTGTTGAGAACCACTGATGGCCAGTTAAAAGAAAACAGAGAAGAGGGAGAGAAAAAATCTGCTTCCTCAAAACCCTAAAAGACTAGAAAATCCTGGAGGTGGAGAATCAGTGTTGAAATTTCCAAAATGCAGCTTCTTCCAGACCCCTCACCTTGTACCCATATTATAAAAATCTACCATATTTTCTTCAAACAAGACAGAAAGAAACAGACCAGATACTTTAACTAGAACTAATTAAAAAACCAAGGACATTTAAGACCTTTCATTTACATAGGGATTCACGTGCTCTACATCAGAAGGCTTTTCAAAATTGTTTTCAAGGGCAGGAGGCAATGCTAGCAGTAATTACAATGGCCTCAAGCCTGAAGGTCTTTTTATGCTTCCACTTACCCCTGTTAAAAACTGAGCAAACTTTCACAGGAGACAAGGATAAAGAGGACTTTGTTGGAGAAGGGAAATAATCACATATTCCTTTAGCAAATTTCTCTGCATCTTCTCTGTTTGAGAAAGCTTTAAATCGTGAGCCTTTTATCATTTTAACCGCTTGTAACGCTTCCTTTTTGTCCTCATACACATGCACTCTCTCTGGAACAGAAAACAATAAAATCAAATTAATTTCTCTCCATGACTACGGTTGCCAAGGTCACACAAGTTCAACAGATCTGGCCTTGTAAGCTTTGCTTCCAAACTCAGCTTGACTACCTAGCAGCACGGCAATCTGCAAAAGAAGATACACAAAAGCCAGCTTTCAAACTGGCTTCCTCTCAGGGAAGAGGTTAAAATTAAGAAGCAATAACAAAACCTAGATTGGATCTATTGTCCTGTCACATCTCTTTGCAAATTTTTCGAGGTCTTCTGCTAGAAAGGCCAAAGAGTGCAAGAACTGTATAGCACTGTTCCTTTGACACAGAAAACTGTGCTTGATAGGAATCTGCAGGTGTGGAGGGGGAGGTATTTGTGAATCTCCTGCACTGTGCAAGGGGTTGGACTAGATGACCCCAGAGATCCCTTCCAACTCTATGATTCTTATGTTGTTTTAAAGTGTTTTAACTGTACTTATTAAATTGTGATGTAAACCACCCTGAGCCTGCTTGCAGAAAGTATGGTATATAAATCAAATAAATAAATAGGCTACTATACAACCCCTTGTCCTTTTCCCATCAGCAAGCAAACAATCACACTGTGACAAAGGGCAAGTCTCTGAAGCATTCCCTTCCAAAGTATTTCACTTTTACATTACTCAGGATAATCTTGATTGTGTTATCAATGGTTTAAGCACAGCACTAGATCATATCTAGTTACTGCTGATTTCTTCAGCCTAATGGATCAGAAGCACATTGGCAAAAAATGTTGGAGAAATCAGGAATGTGGATAAAATACTCTACTTTGGCTCACTGGAATAGGCTTGCTTTTTATGTAGTGCAGCCATCATGCAATAATATACATTCTATCGCAGTCATACCAAACATAGCAATATGTATTTTTAGTACAAGAACTGCCAACGCAATCTGCTCCAAAAATAAACACTGATCCTTGAGAAACCAAGTTTCCATTTTCATGCTGAACAGTATTTATTGTGTCAGTACACAAAAAAAGGGCAGTCTTCTCAAGAGTCCATTCTCGGTCCCAGCAACCAGCAGCTGCGCACAGGCCAGGTATCTGAGAGGGAAAAGCTGCTTAAACTGATGAGACCCCACCCCCCTGCTACATTTGTGATTAACGGGATGTGAACAAGAGGCTGGAGCATCTCTTTCACCTGAGTTACATTTGGCTTATGGATGTTTAGTTTGAGAAACCATTATATCTCCTGCTTGCCCATGCTCCACAGTGAATCAGCAACCAGATTGAGGAACAGGAAGTGAATAAGACTAAAACGGGCCTACTTTCAAGTGCCTGCATGGAAGAATTTAGGGACCTCCATGAAAGCAAAAAATAGTTTGTCTAAGCACTGATAATCAAGGCAAAGGGCAGAATGAGTTGGCTGTCCCCCTGGCCTAGAACTCGCATAGTTACCTGCACCTCGTCCCTCTTCGACCTAATTGGCTTCCTATACATATCTAAGCTTATATTGGGATCACAGAGGTTGCTATAATAATATTTTCTACAGTACTTCCCCCCCCAAAAAAGGGTCCTTTACCAAAGAACTCAACTGCAGAGTCAAGGCAAGCCACCAGCACAGTATAAAAACTTGGATGACACCACATAGACAAAAATAAGCTGATGAATTAAGCAATTGTAAAAAAAAAAACCAAAAACTATTTGGCTAATGATTCCCTTTCACAGCATCTCAGCCAAAAATTACTCACAATTCATCAAGAAAAATAAGGTGAATTCTTTAGAGAAGTTCACATTTGGTATTCTTGTGAAAGTTTTCCAACATGTATTTATACACTATGGCGTGAACCATCTAAGAAAGGATTCCCTACTTCTATTGCCTCAAAATTCATTGCCCACGAAAAGTGACGGATACAACTGTGATCAGTCTCACTTCTGAGTCTGTCTGAAAAGCTATTAACCCTTTGTTGTCAGGGATTACACTTCACTACACCACATCTTCTTGAAAGGGCAAAAGTAGCTTCCCATTTCTTCTTTTTTTAAACTTTCTATTTATTTATTTTTCACATAGTATATTCATACACATACTTCTTAAGATATACATATACATGTACTTCTAACATTTGTGAGTCTATTATTTACTGTTTTCTTTTATCCATTTATATACCCTATACCATCTTTCCTGAAATATTTTATCATCTTTTCCTTGTAATATTACATTCAATTTGACCATTTCTGCCACCTCCAACAGTTTCATAGCAATTTCTTCTCTCTTTGGTATCTTTTCTTGTTTCCAATGTTTTGCTATTAGTATTCTGGCTGTTGTGAGAATATAAATCAGAAAGTATCGGTCATTTTCTTGGTATTCATTTGGAATTATATTTAACAAATAGATCTCTGGACATGGTTTTAAATTAATCTCTAAGATTTCCATTATTATATTATTTAAAGTTTGCCAAAATTTGCCTATTTTCCCGCATCTCCACCATATGTGGAAAAAAGTACCCACATTGGTTTTACATCTCCAGCAATTTTTACTTGATTTTTTGTATGCTTTTGCTGATGAGGACCCTTGTTCTCTCCTTCATTTTATCTTCCCAACAACCCTGTGAGGTAGGTTAGGCTGAGAGTGTGTGACTGGCCCAAGGTCACCCAGCAAGCTCCCATGGCAGAGAAGGGATTTGGAACTGGATTTCCCAGACCCTAGTTCAGCCACCACCCCTTATAGGGGGTGGTGGTTCAGTCCTCTAACCACTACATCACACTGGCTCTCTAAGTTCAGTTACAAATAGAACTGTTCATGCCATGTCATTAATAAGTCACTTACTTACCAAATCCTCAACATTTAATATTTCAAAGTCATAAATTTTAATTTTGAGACAATAAATCAAAGAACAAGTTATATCAACAGCACAGACCGACCATATTCATCAGAAACGCTAAGAATTATGTCGTCTAAAGCTCCTCAGATTTTCTTTTCATGCACATACTATCTTTACAGTTTGACAGCATTATGTTGCCAGAAATGAAAAATATATTACCATTTCTCGCCAATATATCATCATAAACTGGACATACTCCATAATATTGATGAGGTTCCTTAGAAAGAGCCTGTGAACTTGGAGAATCAACTCCTACCGCTTCACCAACGGATCCAGTACCCATCTTGTGCATTAGGGCTTCCTCTTCTGGTGGGTTCAAACCCATACTGTACCCAAAATCAGCATCTTCAGAGGAGCTTACGTGACCATTTTGATTCATTGGAGGTTTGTTGGTTTCTAATTGGCTGTTATCAGCTGTTGCAGTTCCAGGCACACCGTTTGAAACAGATGCCTCTCCTTGCTCTTCCCACAGTGATTGGGCCAGTCTTTTTTCAAAAATTGACCTAGTGGTTAGTGTAATGGGCCCACATTTCTGTCCTGCCTTGACAATTTCTTCTCTCAGCTCATCAGGAGTTAGCTGCTTCAGTCGTGACAATATGTTATCCATTGTTATTACCCCTAGAACCGGGAAAAAACACACAATCCAAGTGAGTAATCTACACCAAGGCCCACCCCAACACTGTATTTTAAGAATGAGCGTGAGTATTAAAGAACTTCTTTAAATACGGGCTGTTTGGTCTTATTTCATGGCAGAAGAGTGTAGGGGCAACTAAGATTATATCAGAGGCGAAGCCAGAAAATTTTGGTTGGTGGGGCATTTGGAAATCCTGTGGGGCACAAACAAAATGCACAACCAGCAAGTGTTTTTTTTAAAAAAGCAACTAATGGGAGAAACATCTGTGCAAGAAACTTGAAGGGGAGCAGGGAGAGGTGAGGATAAGGGTTGAACAGAAGACTTCTTGACTTTCTGTCTCCCCATGACTCAGGGGCTGAAAAATAAATGACACCCCCCCCTTTCAGCAGCTTGCTGGCAGCCTTGCAAAGCCAAGGGGCGCTGAGGAGTGAGAAAGAGAGGGGGGGTGCAGGAGGAGGTGGGCGCCTGGTTGCTGCCGCTACTACTGCCGCAAGTGCCTTGATGCATTCCCGCTGGGGCTGGTGCAATTAATACTTAGCGGCAAGCAGCTAACAAGCACTCCAGCTGCGCAGCCTCTGCCTCCATGCCCCTTGCTGGGCCAACAGGTAAGGGCACGGCCGGGGGCAGTGGGAGTTGTGGGTTCTGGCCCATGAGTGATAGGGCATGTGCCCCTAAGGTTCCGTGCCTGGATTATATGATCCTATGGCAAGCCTTAAGCCCCTCCAAAAACAGAAAGAACAGAAAACGATCTCCAAGAAAAGACCCTTTGGTGCACTACATTCATGTACGCTTCTCTGGGAAGTTCTGCTCCCATTTTAAGAACTCCCAGGTCTGTATAAGTGCTGCAGGCTCTCACCCAGCCGCTCAAGCAACTTATTAAAACCAAGTATAAAGACAGCACTGCTGAAAGCAACCCTTGAGAATACTTTTTGCTACCTGCAAGTCATGTGAGGGGAAAAAATTATCAGCTGCCAGGATGTGGAACTCCTCACAATGCCTGTTTATCCAGTAGTTAAAACACAGAGATGGCCATGCGTGACAGGCAGCAAGCTTCCAGCAAGCAGCTGCTTTGGGTCACCATATTCATTGCGACAATCAGTGAGAACTTGCACCATTTTAAAAGCAAACACTGAGAAGCAGCAACTGCACTTTCAGTCCTCACTTCTGATTTGCATCATCCACCTTTACGCTACTTTTGTTTTTATGTTCTTTTAGCACCTTACTGCAGTTGACAGTTTTATGCAACAAATACAATATTATTGCTACTCTATTGTTAATTCTACTTTGTGTTTTAACTATGACCGAAGACACCTACTTAGCTGCATAGGGGCTGTTACCCCAAATGGTCTGCTTCACCCTAAAAGTGATCTTGTTGCCTATTTGATTTGGGGAATTAGCAAGGAGACTAGGCTTTGCAAGAGAGAGGTAATCTAGCAAGATCTCTCCAAAGTTCTTTGGATCTCTCCAAAGATGTTTCCCTTTGAGAACTTTCAAATAACCAGTCTAAGGCAAAATAGAGATGCATTTTATTAACAGGAAACGAGAAGGCTAACACACACAAAGCATACAAGAAACAACATACATACAAGGCCAATTTAGAAATAAGAAGAGTAGCCGGAATAAAGGAGAGTGTTGGGGAATTATAGCTACCTGTCCTGGAGAGCAGGAATCCGTGGAGCAGAGGCTGTGAAGATGGAAAGTGACCCAAATGAATTTTGGGGGTGCAAGTCTGTAGGGGCCCAGGACAGACACACAGCAGTGGAGCTGGCCAGTTATAGAAAAAAATGGGACTTGAGGGCATGCTAACGTGCCTGCCCCCTGAAACAATGTACTGAAGGGATTAGCTGGGACCAGAACAAAGTGCAGGGGAGGCTTTTAGTAGCTGTTCCCAGGAGAAGACAAAGATGTTGTAATATTTTGCATCTGTGTGGATGAATAGATTTCCTGGCGCAAACAGGAAATGTTAAAGTTTCTGTTGGAATCTGGCTAGGAATGTGAGAAGTTAACAAATCACTGATGATCCCTGATTGCTGGAGAGAAAGAAAAGACTACCCAGTTGCGTAAATAACTATTGATTAGGGTGATCTGACTAGGAAGGGAGGAACCAGGTGTTGGAATCTTGCATTGGGGGGAGATCTTCTTTCCTGTGGACTCCATTATGTACAGTGGTGTGTTTTTTTTTGGGGGGGGGAACTATTAGTTTGACAGATGCCCTAAAGCAGAGGGGTCAAACTCATTTGTTATGAGGGCCGGATCTGACATGTTGGGCTGGGCCATGTGTGCCATAAATTGTAACACAAGGTACCAGAAATATAAATATAAACTCTACAAAGATGATTTCAGATGCCGAATGGCAACAGCAGGCGTGATTTGATTAGGTGTGATATGCAGAAGGGTGAAGATATCAGCACTGGTAATGAGTCAGGAAACCTAAGTCTCAATTTGATACAAGAGGTTTCAGTTCAAGAGGATGCAAAGAATAAATGGGAATAAGTCTGAATAAGTGAGCGGTAACTCAGAAAAGCACATACCCTAACACAATTCTGTTAGTCTTTAAAGGTGCTCCTGAACTCCTACTCTTTCTACTGCTATTAGGAATCACAACATTCAAAAACCTGTGGGGGAACACTTTAAACCTTCCAGGGCACTCAGTTGCTGACCTAAGTTCTCTTACAAAGCAGTTCTCTTACAAAGGAATTTCAAAGGGAGACTAGAAAGAAAGACTGCTGATTTGCAACTGATCATGAAGCTCAAGACAATGCAAACTCCTGGACTGAACTGAGACCTAGGTTTCTTCTCTCCTTACCAATGCCTGCTATTGTCATTTGGTGTCTGAAATCAGTTCACTCTCCAAGATATAAGGACAGATGGACTCACATTCCAGCTGTATCTGAAAAAGTAAGCAGTGACTCATGATAGCTCCTGCCCTGCCACAAATTTTGTTAGTCATTACGGTGCTGCTGGACTCTTGCTCCCTTTCACTAATAAAGAATGCAAGCTGTGCTGTTAGTTTCTCCCCACCTCATCTGTTAGAAATGGAAAGGGGGATCTCTCCAAGTGCCATGGGACTTCCTCCCTCCCTGGTGTACTCTCTCTGGCTCTTTCCC